CTGTGATTATTCCTTGTATCAGAAATGTCTATACCATGAAGAAGACAGTGCTGTGAATTACGTATGAATTGCAAAAAAAGATGTATCTATAGGACCAACTGAGAGTAAAGAGAAGGAAAACTTCAGAGTTTCTAGCAAGCGCTTTAAAAGCCAAATCCTCTTCTCCCAACTCCTGGAGCCTCTTCAAAGCAAGCAGATGTTTTATCAAAATAAAGTACTAGCCTTCAATTGCTTTAAGTGGTTTCATACCTGGCTTTGTATTGCATTAATCAATGGAACTAAGATTTTTTTTTTTAATTAAATGCAACAACTGTCCTGCAATTTTAGCAAATTTAATCTTTCTCCTGTAACTTAAAATCCTTAACTGGGCTGAAGTTTATAATCTTTGCAATCCCGCACAATACAGGATAGTTAAGAGACCTTCCTATTGAAATGCTTTAAGCAAGATTTTTGAACTTAACTGTTTGTCTGTGACTTCACTGAAGTACTGTTACGTGTTTGTGTAGTTAAGGTCACCTGTTAAAACTGTTCTTTTGTTTTAACTTTTTTGTTCTAGGCTATGAGTGCAGCTGTCTGCTTTATGATTGATGGTAAGTACCTATTAGTATCACTTCTTTGGGAAGACCAAGCTAATAGAAAATGCTATTAATAAAATTTCTTTTTAAAAATGCTCAAATTTCTCTTATTTGAGCCTGTTCTTCATGAATGCTTTTAGCAGCCTTTTTGTTCTGCTCTAGGGTGTATATATGCTAGAATGACTAAATACTGCTTCAGTTAACCTTTGGATTATTTACAAACTGCGTAGCTATAATTGAGGGGAAATTTGTCCTAGGACTCTTGTAGAAGGTTAAAGAAAGCAGCTACAAGAAAGAAGGAGAAAAAAAAAAGTCCTGCTCTTGGAGGGGAATCTCATCTCTGTCTCTCCTTAACTGCACTGTAGCTTCAATTCCACCTACACTGGAGTTTTGCCGTAAACTGGACAGCATCGTTGGGCCTCAACTCACTGTGTTAGCATCAGACATCTGTGAACAATACAATATCAACAAAAGAATATCAGGGTTTGTACTGCTCTTCCTTCCCTATTGCAGTCCTTTATCAAGTGCTTAAAATTAGTTTTAATGAGCTGCTTAGATAACAGTAACATGAGCCGAAACATTGAAAGTACTGAGTTAACTGTGCACCTTAAATGATGTTAATTTATCTTTCTCTACCTTAAGCATTTATAAAGTGCCTTTGTTGCATATTCAGGTCTCCCTGAAGTAGCAACGTAGATCATGTTAACTTATAAATGAATGTTGAGATGGTGTACTCGGATACAGCAGGTGGAGCTTCTGGGGTTTGTTGCTTTCATATGTGAACTGAACCAGCTCATTCTTGGAAATCATCAGTTCTATAGATTACTGTGATTGCACACAAAGTTACATGGTGGCAAGAACGTGGTAGATGGAAGTGCAGAAGTTGTTCTGGGTACTAGAACAACTTTTGTCAAGTAACTTGAAAGGGGCCTTCTCTGAGTAGTTTAGGTGATGCAAGCTCTACAGTTGAGTGCTTTTATCCAAAATTTCTGCTTCCTGAAGTGCTGCTGTATATGATGGGTGAGGAAACAACTTTGGGTTTTTTTTAGTCATTACCTTATTGCTGCTTAGTATAGTGTCAAACGAGAAAGGACATTAATTTTGGAGAATTTACTTCACTTTGAACTGGAGCAAAATCTCCTCTTTTTTTTTTCAATGTATTTTTTCAGTTGGGGAGCAATAACAGCAGTTACACATTACAACAAAGAGGAACTATGCTGAAGATACTGATGTTAGCTTGTAACTGACTTTGGTTGTAGCACCCCAAATTGGTAAAACTGCAGGTTGTATAGCAGAATGAAATTGTGTCTTTCTACTAAATCATTAAACTTAAGTCACAGGTGACATAAAAAATAAGACTGACTTTATCTGCTTTAACTCTTTTAAAGTTTAATGCCATGGTGTCCTGCAAACATGATACAGTTTCTTGACACTAATGTATTTGGGTGACAGAGAGCAAAGGTATCTTGGCGCTTGCTAGGGTGTATTGCAGTATCTCTCTGCTTCTAAATAATACAGAGCCTGAAATACCAAATACTATAACCAGTTTTTGCCACTATGAATTTTCTGAGGCTTTCACCAATGTTACCGCTGTAAGTGAAAGATTTTATATTACCTTAATAAAAGAGAAAATAGAGGAGGAGTAAGGCAAAAGCTTGGAACTATTCTCATATTTGGCCTACAAAAATGATGGGGGAAAGTTTTATTGCCTAGATCAAGGAAGAGTTCTTTGTCTCAAACATGTCAGAGATGTGATTGAAATTATTCCTCACTAATCAAAGACTCACTGTCTGTTCAAAGCACGACTGTACTGCCTGGCAGGGAAAGAAAACAAGAAGGGGACAGAGACAAAATGGCTCACTAAAATGATGAACAGGCTACTACAGAGATGTGGGACAAGACCCTTAGATTCCCCTGCTGTTTTTCTTATTTTATTTATGCCTATGTCCCAGGAAGGGGGAAAGCTTGTTGTATGCTTGCTTTTTTAAATTTCATTTCCATATTTAAAATGAAATCTGATCCTGCCACAAGTCTTAGAGCACTTGGTTTCTTCTGCATGAAGGCAGCTTCAGGATCTCCGAGGCTTGCAAGTCTTTTTTTTTTTTTTTTGTCTTTTTTCCCCTCTCTCTAGTGCTGAGAAAGAGCCCCAGTTTAAGTTTATCTATTTCAATCACATGAACTTGGCAGAGAAGAGTACAATTCACATGAGGAAGACACCCAGTGTATCGCTTGCATCTGTCCACCCCGACCTCATGAAGATTCTTGGTGACATCAACAGTGACTTCTCCAGGTAATGCTTAACTATTAAATAGTGTGTAACTCCATCTGTCAATAACCTTTTTTCAAATGACTAGTCTTCCATGCCCCTTTTGTTTCCTGAACTCTGTTCAGTGCCTGTAAGAAAAATGGTGGTCTTTTTGCTGAAAAAGGAGTCTGCCCTGTGTATTCAAAACTTTTCTTGTCCTTTTAAAAAAATACTGGGCTGTGACATAACAATGCTGGGCCACATTGATAGTGGCTGATGGACAAGTTAACGATTTACTCATCTGCTGCTATACTTGTAAAAGATTTGAGGTCTTCATCCTGCTCTGCTGACCTGCATGTGAGTTCGGGAACTCTTTTTGGTGTGGCACAACCACAGCTCTTCTTGCCATCAGGATTGGATTATTCACAGCCAGCAGGAGAGCTTACGTTGTTAGAGACCAAGCTGCTGCCATCTTCTTGAGACACTGTTCTTAATACCTGCTTTCTGAAACTTCTTTCAGAGCTGATGAAGATGAGGAAATTATTGTGAAAGCAATGAGTGATTACTGGGTAGTTGGAAAAAAGTCCGACCAGCGAGAACTGTATGTTATTTTGAATCAAAAAAATGCAAACCTCATTGAAGTTAATGGTAAGGAGTGGCCTTTATTATCCTATAACTATAGTTACTACCAAAATGCACACTCTGGAAAAGTAATAAATTTCATGTCATGAGAAATTTAAAGAGGAACTGATCTATAATAGACCAGGTAACTTTGCATAAGGTTTGAGTCCATCTTCCAGCTGCTATGAAAGAACAACATAAATATTCAGCAGCTTTTTAATTATTGATCAGTCATTCTTCCTCCCTGAAATAATAGAAGAGTACTCTGTGAGTTTCATTTAGGAGTAATTAATGAAGTGTATTACAGGGAAGAGATGAGTATATTTACATCTGCCAGAGCTGCTTTGTTTTGCTTTTGGGGGGAGGGCCAGTTATCCATGGGTGTGTGATTTGTACATAATCTTTCTCCTGCTAGCAATCCTCATTCCATTACTGTGGAATTACTAGTGCTGTTCCAAGGCCAATTTATTCTGAGTAAAAGTCCAAATGAGATTCAAGATGCAAAAACTTTTAAATAGACTGATTTTTTCAATAAAAATCAAGCTTAATTTGTTTTTGTTCGGTTTGAATTTAACTGTCTTCCCCTTGGTGATGCCAGGAGTTTTTCTTGCACTGGCTCTTGTAAAATAGTGTATTGACTTTCTTTAATTTTTCTTTTTAACAGAAGAAGTGAAGAAGCTTTGTGCAACACAATTTAATAATATTTTCTTCTTGGATTGATCTATAAAGGGCTGATTAATTGAAGAAGTCAACATCAAACACTTGTTCAACACGAAAAGTTATTAGTCATATTATTGACTGGAATAATGACAATAGTAAAGCAATACTTGCTTTGTAAGAAATCAAATTTCTACTAAAATCTGTAAACTGATCATAAAATTTTTAGATTAAAAATGTTTATCTGCAAACTAATTAAAACCAGTCTGAAATCATCTGTACCATTCCATTCTGATCTTGTTCTGTGAATATTTTATTGGAAAATAAAGCTAATAATTGTTATACTTTTAAGGGCATCTTTTTTTGTTTCCCGGTGTTCATTTGCATCATACTGTGACTTCCTAATAATTTTTACTAGGTGGAACTAGAGTGCTAGTTACAAAAGTTTTCTGATCTATGTCTGATTAACACCAAATTTCATGTGTTCTAGCTTAACCTCTTCTTCAAAGGTCTAGTTGAATTTGTTATCAAATACTTACTTAAAAGTAATCCCTAACTGAAACCACTAGACCAGAGGGGAGAGGAAAAAAAAAAAAAAAAAAAAAAAGCTTATGCACCAGTCTAAGCAAATACTATTGGCGAGGGACAGACACCACCGACATCCCATCTCATAGCTGTATTGCTGTGACACTGATGGCATTTTTAGCAAATATAAATAAGGCTATTTCAGAAGAGATACTGATGCTATTTGAAGAGTTACACTCATATATAGCTGGTTACCCAAGGCTCATGCTGTAAGAGGTTTTATAGCCCTTTGGTTTTGTAAGTTAGGGCAAATGTGGTTTGTTTTTCCCCTTCAAAAAGCACTTACATACTTGAAGCTTCAGCCGTCCTTAGAAGATTTACTTTTTCTTTTTCTTTGTCCCTGCAGCAACCTTGGCAACAGCTGGGGGTGGTACAGTAGGTGTCTCTTCCTTTGAAGATACTGAGTGGGTAAAAGAGTCTGAATCGTGAAGTGCTCCATTCTTGATCTCAGATGATGCTTTTTCTGCTGCAGCTTCTTGTCTTTTTGCCTCTTCTGCTTCTCTTTCAGCAACAAGTCTAAGCAGACAAAGCTTAAATTTATTAAGTCTCTCATAGTGAAGTACATACAAAGATTTATACTGGCTAAGCAACCACACTTGTATTTGCAGTATGAACAGGCTAAAATATTTGACTTTAGAGAAGCAGAAGTCTTTTAGTCGCATTAAGTCTAACTCGGATTGTGCAAAAAATATCTTCCATGCTCTTGGTTCATACAGAGCAGGACTCAAATGCCACAAACTATACTCACTAGAGAACTGGAAAATAGTCCAGTAGCCTGAAGGCTCACTGTGTTCATTGTCCTTATAACAAATAAAGAGAAATTATTTTCTTAATGTGTTACTTTATAAGTAGTCATACATTAATTACTTTCTGGATACTGCTTACTATTTCTGGATGATTTGTGTCAGTTACGATAGACTATACTACTTTCATAGAGGAGGATTTCACTTTTTTTTTTTTTTAAATTACAAAAGCCATCCCTTCAAAATAAAATACTCACTTTGCGAGCTCCTCATCCTTTAGTTTCCTCAGCTCAGCTATTTCAGCATCGCAAATTCGATTTTCTTTTATTTTTTCCTTCAGCACTTGTTCATGCTGGTAGGCAGGAAATAAGTTACAGATAAAAAAGATCTGCATCTGACACAGCTGCAGACCAAGTTCCTCATTTTGTTCATTTTTGTCTTCTCTTTTTTCTGTAACATGCAAATTACACAGTTTATTTACACTATATTTAAGGTATTTCTATTTCCAGCCCTTTTTGGGCTACAATACTTCAGAATTGATACTCTGCAATGGAAAATCTGGCTGCACAAGTTATGATGTTCCCAGCCTCTCCACAGATGTTTGATGCACACTAGTTTCTGCATGGCACAGAACATGAGAAATGTGAGGAACCTGTAACAGATAATGGTGAAAGGGCAAGGATTTTTTTGTGGTTCTTTGGCGCAATGGTCTCAGGGCCGAGCACCAGAAGAACACAAACCTTCCCCTCTAATCCCAAGTATCTTAATTTCATTGTAATCTAATGACACTTCAACATCTGTAACCCCCGTACACAGAGGAAGAGAGGGAAGAACAAAACTATGTGGAACTACTGCATGCCAACGTGCGTGACTTTCAAAGTCAGGGCACGCGATGTTTCCCACAGCTAATCTGCTGGATGTTCAAGAGACAATGATGTTTCCTGATCTCTAACTTCTCAGCCATCAGATTGCAGTGAGAGAGCTGATAACTATATCAAGAATGGGTTGTCTGCTTATTCCTTGCACTGGGGTTCGTTAGTTGTAGAAACATTAACAAGCACTAAGAGCATGAGAGATGAGATAGGCCAATCAGCCAGAAGGGAAATTGTATAAAAAGCAACATTCTCACTATTCTTTCCTGACATCTCCATATGAAAATGCACTTACCGATTTCTCCTCTGCATTAATGCAGGCCTGTCATAAAGCACAACAATCTGTCCCAGCTAATGGTGACTGATCACTCCAGAATCTAAGTTAGTTTTTATCCTAAGTAAAAGCAGCAAGGGACAGTGGTAGTATCTTCCATTTGGCCAAGAGATTGGAGGCGGGGGGGGGAAGTTATTAAATTTCATTTTCTTAACAAACACATGCTTGTAGAATTAATGTTCACTTACTGCCCTCTTGTGACAAGCTGAAATCTGCATGCACAACTAAAATTTCATTTCGAGAGTTACAAATCAAGCGCTACCTTTAAAAAAAAAAAAAAAAAAACAGGGCTGCTTTACCTGCCAATTCCTCTGGTGGGCAAAAGCTTTGTCCATTTTCTGCATCCCATCTACACTGAGTATCTTTGAAACATGGATGTGCTGCATGGAGTATGAAGCGATGACCTGCTCAGGCAAAGAAAAAAGTATTTTAATTAAGTTTGTAATTCTGTGCATTAAATATCAATGTTAGTTTTCAGTTTAAAAAAATTAACCATCCTATGAGGTATCAGGTAGATCTGTGGCTGAAATAGTTCACTGCTGATGAAAAGATTGTTTATAATGAAAAAATATTTCTCAGTTCAATCTCCTGTCTCTATCCCAAAATGAGTTCAACAGAGCAATAAGAATTTATCTGAAAAAGCCTTTCAGCTATTTTCAAGGAAGGGTTACAGCTTGTCATAGAAGTGAGCTTATTAATGCAATTTATGAGCACAAATATTCTCCCTCATAATACACAGAATCACAGAATGTTTAATGTACACTGTGGAATGTACATGGAAAATACACTATGGAATGTACATAAAGCATCTGTACAGTTGCAAGTGGGAAGATTTGGGGTGGATATACAACTGCCATATAAGAACATTGGGAAACTATCTAAAGGTGTTACTGCAAAAGACCCAGCAAATAGATCTATATTAGATATATTAGTATGATCAGACACTGATGCAAGATGGAAATAATAGGCAGCTTTCATTAAATATATGCATACTTCTGCACAAAAACCAAGTTTGAAAGTTTCATATGGACCAAAAAATTCAGCTTGAAAATGTTTAACTGTATAACTACCAGTATAGTTACCAAAAAAAGAAGTCAAAATACTAATTATCCTTATTAAAATCCAGACTCATTTTCAGATCATGTGTTTTACTAGTCAACAAGATTGTGAGCTTCAGGGTAGAATTGCCTAACACGGCTGAGCTGCTGGACCAGGTTTGATAAATTTGTTACAGACCATCTTATCTTCTGACTCTCCTCCTTCAAACTCTCCTCCTTCACTATGTGCAACCAGCCTTCAAACACACTCACTTGTTGGTATTCATGCGAACACTAATTATTACTGCAAGATTCTAACACTGTTAGTCCTTATAAACATTACTGATGTGATACCCATACAAGTGTGGTTTAGTGGGACTGGTTCTGAATATTACAGGTAACTTTGTTGGACATGAGAGGGGAGGAGCTTGTAAGAGCAGCCAGCTGACAGCAAATGCAATTTGTTGCTATTTTATAAATTACCAGCATCACTATCTTCCCATTTTCTTGCACTTTAGCAATAGGCTAAAAGGGACTAAGTGTGCCAGTAAAAGAAATAGGAAAATGCAGGAAACGGACTTTTTTCCTGTATTGTCATGCTGCTTGGCTGCCTCAGTCTGTAAAAGAAATAGGAAAATGCAGGAAACAGACTGAGGCAGCCAAGCAGCATGTCAATACAGGAAAAAAGTCCTTCAGTTGCCTGGAGGAGCAACACAGTGAAGAGTGTGAATTTTGTATTCCAAGTTATAGCAAGCAAACTGCAGCAGGGAATTTCCCTGTAAAACCTTTGAATTCCTTTGAACAGTCTCCCTACATCACACCTCACAGCCAACAGCACCCATTCAGCTCCAGCTAAACCAGCACATCTGCTCAGGTTTCCTCCCTCTGTGCCCACATGCCCTTAGTAGAAGCACAGAATCCAAAGATGCTGTCTAGAAGATGAAAGCAGAGTGATGGAGAGGGAGCTTAGACTAGACAAACACACTGAATCAACATTCGAGGCAGGAAGAGCTAATAACAAGAAAGACCAACCTGTGAGTGTTCACACAAGTAAGTCCTAGATCTAAATATCTAATAAAAACACTCATTTTGTTCAAATAAATTATCTCAACATGGAGGAATAGCTCTGAAATCCTCACAGCATAGGTTCAGAGTTTCAAACTTGGCCAGCTTACCAAATGTTTCAAGTGTGTGAAACTGTATGTTCCTGTAAAGAGTTAAGCCTTGCCATAATTGCAGAACTGAATGCTGCTTCCCTCCATACACGTACAACAGTTCCAATAAGTATCTGTCTTTTTAATTATCTTTCAAGCTGTAGCAAGAGTGAGTCTCCACTAATGCTATAAAACAAACCCCAGTACTCACCCATACGAAATTCTTCGAAACACAGCAATCTGTCTTCACAGGGTCTCTGTGACTGGCAAGAAGTTTTGAAATCAGTTATAAAATGTCTGGAGTTGTGTTCAAATTAAAAACTGAAATCACACTGCCCATTTGTCTAACCACAAAGCATTCTGGAATAGTACCAGCTACTACACTGAAAGACAAGAAACTGCCAATCCAAGTGCATTCTGCAACTATACCTATTTCAAAATATGAAAGTGCAAAAGCAGAGAAGTTTAGAAGTTTGCTGGAGGCTCTAATTTTGGAATATGTTTCTAGGAACTCCTGCTGTGTGAAAAGATATATTCTAGCTGGCTTGCATTCTCCTGCCTGCAGTCTACCAGGAAGCGGGGGAAAAAAAAAAAAAAAAAAAAAAAAAAAAAACAGTGAAAGGTTATTCTGGAAATTAAGCAGACAAGTCACAAGTAGCTGAGACAGAGGCGTCATTTTCAGCAAACTAAACACACTAAATGAGACACACTTTTACATACTAAAAGAAATTTTATATTGGGGTTACTTTCTCTAGTGCTACTAAGTCTCTTTGCCCAGTTTTCATCCACTCACTCCTTACACTGCCAATAAACATTTACCTGTTGATTTGTTCATCACTGCCTTCTGCTTTAGCATGAAAGCAAGTGCTTTGTTAGCAGTGAAAATGCATCCATTTTAGTCTCACATACACATCAAGGCACAAAAGCACACTGTAGTTATTAATACGGGAAATTCTAGTCCCTTTCAAACCCCAAAATACCTTTGCTTTTCTATCCTATATGAATGGCAAAACCCTCTACTCCACTTTTAACTGAGAGCTTTTTACTTACCTCATGAGTCTTTGTTCCCTCTTTTGACACGACATTTTTGCTTGAAGACAACCATGAGTAGGGCTCAGCTGCCCTAGAAATGTCATCGTTTTTGTCTGTACTCATTACATTTCTATCACAAATAGACTAATAGAAAAATAACCATGAGAAAAAAAATGTTCATTCAACTCACTCCAGATGATGATTTTTAGATTAGCCTCAGAAAACACCTCTAGTTTAACTAGATCAATGTGGAACTACACAAAGGCTAGTAATGACACGAGGGGATGGGTCCTTCAGAATGGGATCGTGTAGGTGGAAAACAAGGGAAGATGGCACTGCTGGTTTTCAGTGACTGAGAAATTATGTGCTTAGGAACGCTCTGAGAATTAAAAAAAAAACCTTCAACTGGTTCCCAGTAACATAAATTATACAGACTAAATCATACCTTCAGCTACCCTGTGTGGAAGGAGCGAGTCTTGTCATGTATGGCCATTTTCACAGAGCAATTTTACACGTTCAACTTTAAGCAAGAGGGGCCCATCTTCCACCAGTCAACGAATCTGTCAGCTCCCTTTGGAACATCAGAAGGCTTCCAAGTGCATTATGAATACTTACAGTTACTTAGGAAAATTTGAAAGTGTATTAAAAATATCTACAGTGATGTTACTGTCAAAAGTAACAATGAATAAAAAAACAGGAAAAGGTTCCAGTCAGATGACTGCTTATGGGAAAAGAGGAATTCCGTTTCTACGTCTATACTATGAGGTCCAAAACAACTTTACCTGGGACAGATAATATTCTGGGTACTGCATCAAAGTTATGGTTTCCTCAGAGGGACTTCCAATTCTAAAGGCACTTCCTTTCTGAATATAATACTCTACTTGCTGCTTAATCACATCACTGGTAACATACACCAGTGCACAATCCAGAAGAGCTTCAAAAAATTCAAGAAAAACCACCTAGAGTAAAACAAACATAATCAACAATTAATTCATTTTTATAAAAATATCTTAATCATGAGTACATGTCTTAGCAAGTAAAGAATTCTAAACTATTTATTGAGCCTCACTGACATCACTGCATCTTCTCAAAAATCCTTTTTTACTGAAGAAAACTTGAAATTGGCTGAAGTTTAAAAAATCAGCAGTTGATGTACTGCTGTAAGGTTTTAAAACCTTACGCAAGTCAAATTAAAATAAAACATTGCATGTATTTTTGCTGGAATTGCAAGAAAATTTTCTCTGTGATGAATAACAGTTACTGGTATTACCTAGAACAGAGTCACAGAATCATTATGATTGAAAAAACCTTCAAGGTCCAGTCCAACCATCTATAGTTCATTGTTCACAACACCAAGAGAAACCCCAACAAAGGGCATATAGTGAGTCCTTTAGTAATACTGACACTTTATGTTCAGTTTACTAGATAATGATTAAAAAAATACAAACTCAAACAGGAAAAATATAAATTACATTATTTTCCTGTTCTGACAGACATGTTGGTATTTGCAGCATTTTCTAAAATTTTCCATACACACCTCCTGCTCCAGGCTGCTGTTATCACCATCATGTAAAAAGGGATAGTCTTTGACAAGTATTTCCACAAGTCTTGAAGCAGTTAATTCCTTACTCAGAAGCTTGAAATCCTGTGCAAGATTAAATGTTATGTTACCAACACTTAGCATTCCCATAGGAACTTAACTGAACTCTCTTTAAGGCCCATGTGAAAATTTCTAGTGGTTTCAAGGGAATCCTATAACACATAATTAATGACAGTAAAATCACAGGCTTACGTTAAGAAAGTGATTGTCAAATCTGACTGACTTCAAATAAGAAATCAAAATTTGGTCCTGAAATGGACTACTATTCACCAGAATAATTATCCCTTCAACATCTGTTGGACAGTTCATACAAATAAAACTACCTATACCTTTATGACTGCACAGGAGCTACAGGGTCATTTTAAAATGACCATGTAAACTGAACAAATGTGAACTTGGCCAGATCAAAAAGAAAAACAAAGTAAATAATTACATTCATCATCCAAAGGAAATGTCTCATTTTCATAGTGGGTTCAAATGGAGACTTGGTACTTGGTTTACAAAAACCTCTGTATATTTCCCAGCATTTGTCAACATAGTTCATGGCACAAATGGCACGTTCAGAAAACAAAATACCTGTAAAAATATTTGAGAAAAAAGCAACAGTTACTCTAAACCTCTGATGTATTTACCGTTATTTGATTAATTCTGAGCCACACAAAAAAAATCATTACTTACCCTGTATATGGCAGGCAGTGGGAATAATATTCCTGAACATCATTTCTAAGAAACACTTATGTAGATAAGGACCTTCTTCTCTACAGTTGAAACAAAAATACATACTCTGTTTTTGCACAAGGAATACTGTAACAGTTATCTTTAGAGGTACACTTTACAAGTACATTTACTCTGTAAAAATTCTACAACAGATTTTTCTCAAATGAACTCTTCAAAGAAAATCCAGACTCTTTGCAAAGAGTCCTTCCAAAGACCAGCTTGCGTTACTATCCTCTTAAACAGAATCAAGGAGAGAAGATTCACATTTATGTAAACTCAGTGTGAAAGATATACAATTCATATAAAAGGCACGAAGCAGAATTTTCAAGAACATCGCCAGGTAGCAGAATCAAAAGTCCAACTGAAATTCCAGAGTCTATTTTTCTCTTAACAATTATCTGCTACAATCTAACCAGAGTAATAAAAATAGTTACATGTTAGAAATATAGACAGCAGTCTCCAAAAGCGCTAATACACTGACAGAACAGTTTCTGCAAAAAAAAGAAAAAAAAGAAAAAAAAAGAAAAAAAAAAGCAAGTATGAAATACAGGTTAATTCTTTTAAGTTACCACTGGAACTCTACTTCGCATAGCATAAGCACAGACAGAAAGAGAATGGACAAGCAAGAGTGAAAGGGCAGGCAGATGCCTTGGGCAAAAGAGAATAAAAAGAGAAGACGCCCTGGAAGAAATTTACTGAATTGCACTGAAATTGATTTCACTAAAAAAAATAACTTACTTGTGCTCCTTATAGTAGATATGAAATGCTAGATGAATAAGGAAAGACAAAAATGTTTTGAACAATAAGCTCTCGTATGGAGAATGTATCTCTTCTAGCAGTATTTTATCACCTAAAAAAATGGAAAAAAAAAATCTCTTTTGCTATCACTTACGTTAAAGCGTTTATAACAACAAGTGCCCATAAGACTCTTATCCTCTAAGCTCAGCTACCACAGCATTAAAACATTCCTGGAAGAATCAGACGATAGTCGGCATCAGCAGGGCAAGGCAGCACGGCCCATCTGAAACTCAATTTTAAGGTTTTTTTTCCTGGAAATGCATCCCCACAGCATATAGAAATGGAAGCAAAATTGGAATTAATCACTTAATACATGAGGGACACTAAAGTACATATTTGTGATAAAGGCCCACAGCAGCTCTAAGTAAACAAAACAACAAAATAAATGAACTTTCAAAAACATTGAAAAAAAGATAGACCATTTGTCTTCTTTCTCAGACTCTAAGACATTTTAAGTACAAGTAATGGCAAAACCGAGGATAATATAATTTTTGAACTGAGGATTCTTTAGAACAGCTTTTGAAGAGTATTTTTATTTTGTGTTTTCCCACTTAAGGTTCCAGGGTGCCTGGGTAATAATACATCCAGAAAAATTAGGGGCAGAAATGGACACGCTCAGGGCCACTGAACTACTGGGGCTGAGCTACCAGTAGAACTTGGCACTCCAGCTCCCCACAGCTTACTATTAAGACTTCTAAATCCTAGTCCTTACTCAACAGAAATACAAACCGCTCAATATCCGGTCCATTTCAGCAAGAGTTAAGTTGCAACGATGAAACTGGCAGTCCTTCAGAAATCTCCAGAATTGGAGCTTAGTCATCAGGAAGGTGTTGTCAAAGGAATGATCACAGCCTAAGCTGCTGTAGAAGCTGTAAATTCTTCTCAGTTTTGTCATATGTCTCAACACAGCAAATTCAATCTAAACAAAACAGTGTAAAATCTCAGGACAAGTAGGAATCAACATGTATCAATCCCATAATACAGCACAATATTTTTTTACCTATTTTTAAGGTAGGTAAAAGACCCTAACAGAAGAATGAGAAGCAACGGCTCAGTAGTAGTTTTTAAGTAAATAAAAAGAAGATTTTGTGTAGTTTTTGAACAGAAACCATCCAAAAGGAATCACTGTCCCTTGTACTAATAAAATATAGTCACCTAAAAGGCTTGAAATTAAAGTCTTTTCATTTGGGAACACTGGACTCAGCATATGGACTGCATTAGCAGAGACCCTGTCCGGACCTCACAGTAAGACGACTATGACTACCCTTCCAGAGAGAAAAATGTATCTTTTATTCCCTTTTATTGGATGCTCAGGAGTACATAACACTTTTTCCTCATTCTTTTTGCTGTCAGATTTTGAATAATTCTTGAATGCAAGACTTAATTTATTTCTGGTTTGTGTGCATAAAGTAAAATTATGTCAAACACAATGGTGAAAAAAAATGAAAATACCAAACAATAGGCTCTTACTTGCTTTATTTCTTCTTGTCTTTCTTCCTTTGGGAAGACGTCAAGTAGCGAAGATATATCTAATTCAATATTTGGTCCCAGAAGAGAAGCATTTCGTGAGCCATTACCTATTCTGATGTTTTCTAACAAGTAAAACAAAAATGAAATTATATTTTAAAGATTTCAACAATATACAAGCAAAAGAAAACACATTATTCCTTCTTATTTTACTGACTTCAAAAGAAGAATACACATTTTAAGGTGAAAAGTACAATTTAGTAATCAATAGCATAAAGTCATCGACCCTGACAGTGCTCAAGAAACATGTAGATGAGGCACTTAGGGACATGGTTTAGCAGGTATGATGTTGAAGGGTTTACTGTTGGACTCGATCTTAAAGGTCTTTTCCAACCAAAACGGTTCTATGATTCTAAGTCTAACTACTATCCAAAAGAAAATGCTGAAATTGCAAATGCTGATATTTATGAAACTGACAGTGTTCCAAAACCATAACAAGATGTTATGAACATATCACTCAACTCAAAAGTGTCAAGAATAAGAAACAAGAAGCGTGGAAACAAAATGCATTAATTATAAAAATACATCTCTTCTTTATCAAAGTTCTCTGAAAAAACACATCTGGTACTTGAACAACATGAACAGCTTGATATTATTTTTAAAATGTAACAACTAACAAAATAAAAACAAACAGAAAATAGAATTTGTTGCTTTCTTAAGCTACTTACCAGTTCTAAGAGGACTTCCTGTACAGATGGCATTCAGATCTTGTTCATTCAATGAATCCACTTGAAAAGCAGGATATTCTGCTATATGATCATCTATAAACTCTCCCTCATAAACATGCCCATTTTTGAAGACAAACTTGCCCTACAGACAGATTCATTTGATTAATTTCAATACAAATTTCCCCATTTAATGAAAGATCAGTAAAAACAATACTAATGCTCTCAATTTCCCTTATAAGAATCTCTGTTAACATGTAACATATGAGATAACACAAAGCAAAGGATTTTTCTTACACTTTTTTAACACAATGGTAAATTGAAATTCACTAGTACATATGATAACATACACTGAAACCACTGACCAACAGTACCTTGATTTTTTCAACTAAGTGCCTGAAACACCATTGTAAAACATATGTCCATACATATACACACACCCACCCCGTAGCCCCTGAGTCAAATCTGCTGCCCAGATTCCTGGAAGGATTCCTATGGTTTTCAGTGAAGTCTACTTTATGTTGCTATTCCATCCACAATGCAAACTGAACATAGTTTTCATTACAGAAATCTGCACATAGAGCAGAATAAAGCCTGTTCTCATGCTGTCTTTAATGTTCTCTCACTATTTGTCAGTACTCACTTGGCCGTGCTTCTTATTGCACACCCAGTTTCCATCATACACTGCTCCATTGGCGTATAAGAACCTCCCATGTCCATGACGATCCCCTTTTACAAAATTGCCTATGTATTTGTTCCTTAAAGGATACTGAGACAAACGCATCCTCTTCAGAAACCATATATGGGTGCCAAATCCATGCTGAAAACATATGTTAAAAAAAGAGGCAGCAGTCATCAAAAGAGTTACTATTGCTATAGGTCCAGATTTAGAGAAGTAAACTATCATTTTGTAAGATTGAAAACTGGAATATAGCTAACAACATGAGAATCAACTATGAATAAACAGTACAAAGCTTCTTTGACACTACACAAAGTTCTTTATCTTGTTTTACTACCATAATGAGCAGGTATTGAAGCAAAGAGGTTGCTGGAAAAAGAATGAATACCTGTATGCCATATTCCCACTGTCCTATATACTCTTGATTAGCAGTCAACCACCTCATTCTTCCTTCTCCATGACGTACATTTTTTTCCCACTGACCTTCATAGGTATTTCCAGACTTATAGCTGTAAGAAAACAGCAAGAAAATTAATGTCTTAGCTGCTCTAGAAAATACTAAGACAGGCTCTCTTGTACAAGAATAATAAATAAGTCTCTCCCTGTTCATCAGTGAGAGTTAAGTGTCTCTTGTTGAGGGATAAGAAGAGAAACACATTAGGAGAGATAGTCTGTATTAAGATAGCATTTGGACTCATGCATTGCATCAAAAGATAGACCATCTGAAAGGAAAGATTCCCAGTTGGCTACTTACCAGTCTCAGATAAAATAACTATGTTAAGATACTAATAAATTCAAAGTTCTTGGAGCACAAGCACAAACAAGTTCAGCATAATTTGAAAACCATGCCCATGAGATATTAAAACAGTGCAGCAACATATCACTTTTCCAATGAGTCCTTAGTAAATTTTTTTTTTTTGCAACTGAGAGAGAACCAGCAGATTTTTATGGCAGTAGTTTGGTTCAAGAAAGCCCAGTTATAGCAGTATAACTTTGCTGATCATATGTCTGAATAGTTCACTTATATAATCCAGAATATATATACTGAATTCTAACTGAATCTTATAAAAAGAAGGCTTGGAGTAAAACCTCAGGAGGTATTAGCAGTCATTTGGAAGTTGGCTCACTGTGACATGGATAAACTGGTTTGATTTACTCATTGTTTACCTCATATTTTTAACTTACAAACCATTGTAAAACATAAACCAGCTCTTTGTGTCCAGAGATTCTTTATCATAGCTAGTCAAAGCATTCTTTCACATGTAATTTCATCAAATAATTCATTAATTCATAAAATAAGCTTCATCTATTCAAATCATTTGGGATGATTTGTTTAATACTACAATTTCTGATTTACCAAGTTAGATTTTTGATTATTTTGTCTTTAGATGATTTTCTTTCGGGAATAATTAGGAGAAGCATATCAAGATAAAAAAAGTAATACCGAAGGTCTGGTTTATTAGTAATGAGCACTTTGTACACTAACTTATTCCACTAAAGAAAGTACATACTATTATGAAATGGTAGTACACTAACCCATTTTAAATATTAGAGGAACCTGGATAATATATGCAAAATAAAAAAAATCTGAAGAACAATCATACTTACCGTCTAATTCCCCATCCTTCTTTGTTGTTATTTACCCAGTCACCTGAATACCAAGAGGTATGTTCCTGATTATAATAAATGGTACCCTGAAACAAGTCAATTTACATCAATAGCTAAATATTAAATTACATTTAACAAAAATAGTTTGACATTCCATGCAAAACATACCAGATATGATCAGATTATTACCTATAGTCACTTTGATATAAATTGAAGTGCTAAAATTAGGCACAGCCTCTTTCTGTAAGTCTCTTTTCTATAAGCCTTTTTCTTAAGGTCTAGTTAAGACCTTAAAAAAGACCAAGTGTTGAAAGGTAAGGGAGGGGGGGTTGGAAAAAAAAAAAAAAAAAAAAAAAAAAGCATACTACATTACATCAAAGTCTAACACATTTCTCAGCCCTGCTGGCAATACTTTCATAGATTGTAACTTCACCAACCTAAGGACCCCTTAGGAGGTGGATCAGCCTTTTGACTCATCCAGAACTTTCAACACTAAGTCTACAATTACCTCCTTTAGAAAGCAATCGTGCAACTAGCATACAGCATTAATTGTTGGAGTTTTCCCTGCCTCATTGCTTCCTCTCAGGCTATTCCCTTGGTGACCATCCACAGCAACCTGCATAATTTTAGTATCCCATTAGAGAGACAAAATTCAAAGCATGTAATTAGAACTGATCTTTCTCACACGCTGAGCACCGGTCTTCAAAACATCGAGCTCAGTAGAGTGTCTCAGGTTGGATGCACAAAATTGAGACAGTTAAAAGGTAGTTCTCTCTAAAAAGCTGAAACTACACATTACTTATAGAACAGTGGACAGCCTTGGCTATTATCGTACATAGTCTGCTGTTACACATTTTGGATGTGGGATCACTCTGCCATCAGTGGGAAGCTAATCATTCTGTCAGACTTGTCAAAACACAGCTACTGATGCTCTTGCCAGTTTTGACTCTGTCATCATCTAATTAGAACTGCATAATAGAAAAGGCACACAAGTTACTAATTACCTTTGGCATATCAGTCAGCTCTTTTACTATAGAACAGATCCCACCTCGCTAGTTTTAATTTGCAATAGTGCATGCTGAGATCCTTAGGGAAAATACATACATACATACACACGCACACACACACACATATATATATATATATATATCACAAGATATATGCAACAATACAAAATTTTCGGGCCAAATGTCTAACAGAAGTGCTGTAAAATTCCGTTCTGAATACAATTAATCCAAGACAACGACCTCATTTGATGTTTTTATTTACCTTTCCATGTCTTTTGCCATTACACCAGTAGCCAATATAAGAAACTGCACGTGTACCACTCCTGAACAATCCAAATCCATGCCTAACTCCATTCCTGATCGATCCGTCATACATGCTGCCATCAATCCACATGTAACAGCCATGATGCATTTGTACATTCTTAACAAAAGTCCCCTAAAAGATTAAATTTTAGCATTTAGAAAAGCCAACACACGCGACTCAACACTCCCATTTAAGTGCAAAGGAGATAAGACCAACTGTTTGGCAGAACCCAGTCTTGACTGAAATTACTGCCATACTTCTGCAGTAGCCACCTGCACTGTGCCAATTATTTTCACTTATCTCTTTTCTTTGAATTTGCACATCTTATTGGCTGCAATTGTGTTCATTCATAAGCTGTATTGCACTTTACCTCGTACGTCACTCCATCAGCCCATGCGTAAGTGCCTTGTCCATGCATAAGTCCTTCAGAAAACATGCCCTTCAAAATGAAGAAAACAATATTGTTTTCAAGCTAATTTATATCACAGCTAAGCCCACAGTGACTGTAAGACTTCGAAATAACATTAAATCTCCTTGAACTGCTAATATCAGAACAGTTTTAATGCAAGAAGGAAACAGAGCTTCTGCATTTTAATTGCGCAGCTTCCACCAACACTAAAAGAGTTCTAGAGCTTGACCCACTTCTTTTTCTTTTCTCTCTTTTAATTTATGTGCTCACCTTGTACGTATTTCCCCCCTCAAAATAGGCGACGCCTTCACCCTCATACAGTCCATGGACTTTTGTCCCTTCAAATCTAAAAAGAAGACAGACTAAAAATGCACATTTCAAGTTGCCAATAACTAAATCAATGACAAACACAGAATTAATGACCTTTTATTTACTGCACTATGTGTACTGATCCAAATACCAATGGTCCAAAACATTAAAAAAGGCAACAAGTGGAAATATCACAGGTGTATTTGATCCACAAACTGTCTACTAGGACTAAATTTCACTCTACCTGAAGAAGGGCAAAAGGATGAGGCTTTGCATAGGTGCATAGAGCACCAGCAACACCAACAGATGCAGAGGCAGAATCATAGAATGCTTAGGGTTGGAAGGGACCTCTAGAGATCATCTAGTCCAACCCCCCTGCATACGCAGGGACACCTAGAGCACGTGGCACAGGACTGCGTCCAAACGGGTTTTGAAGATCTCCAGAGAAGGAGACTCCACAACCTCTCTGGGCAGCCTGTTCCAGTGCTCTGTCACCCTCACTGTTAAGAAATTTTTCCTTAAGTTCCTATGGAATTTTTGATGTTTCAGTTTCCGGCCATTTCCTCTAGTCCTATCAGTGGCCACCACTGAAAAGAGACCATCCCCGTCCTCTGCACTCCCTCCCTTGAGGTATTTATATACACTGATTAGATCCCCTCTCAGCCTTCTCTTCTCCAGAACAAGCCCATGGGTAAGAAACGCTTACATGAGAATTCCTGACTTACTGACTGTGGTTGTAACAAACATACCTTTCTACAATAATTTTAGTGAGAAGAGACTCCTCAGGGTATATAGGGACATACTGGGCTGGAGGTGCTTCCCCTGTATTTGGCGCTTTTTCTGTTACCAAAGGACGTGCTTGTTTTTTTTTCCCTCCATCCCAGGTTTGCAAACTTGCCATCTTCTTTGGGCTGCTCTCAACTGCAGCTGCTGGTGCAGGAGGTCGAGGGCGAGGAGGAGGAGGAGGTGCTGAAGCAGGAGGGGGAGGAGGACGACGTGTAGATTTTTCTGATTTCTTGCCATCTTTCTTCCTATCTTTTCCCATTACTATTGAGTTGTCTCAACATGTATTTTTCTCCTGAACATCTACTGTCTTCTTAGATAGAGGTCTTTTCCCTCACAATCTAAGTATATTTGACAAAAAAAAGGAAAAAAAAAAAACATAGTTGTGAGGATTTTTTTTTCCTAATGACATAGAAGTATTTAAAACTATTGAGTTCAGATGCAACAAACCTCACAAATTAGTTTTGGCTTGTGCTGCACAAACACCCAGCTTAGCAAAAAGAGATATCAGGAAAGACAAATACCAGGAAATCTATCAAAAGTATTAAACCAGAAAAACCTGTTATCAGATACTCTAGTTTTGCTAATCAGAGACCAACATCTTTACCAGAATGTTTTCATGACTCTAGAAATAACGATGTAGAAAAGCTGAAAGCTTTTCTTCTCACACGAGAAAGCTGAAAGCTTTTCTTCTCATATGAGGTAAGCCGAGTTTGACAAGGGTCCTGGAGATTAAGCTGCAGAAACGTTCAGGATTTAAAGTTGCCCCTAGGGCTACAAGCACAAATATTTTTGCATTTTATACTTAAAGTAATTAATTGCAAGGGGACCGTGCTGTCTGCCACCTCGCACCACCGCTTACGAGAAATGAGGCCGCCCTGCCCGTCACAGGGAACGCAACGCACCAAGGCCGGCAGCGGCCGCACCCCCCTCGCCCGGCGGCGAGGACCCGGCACCCCCTGCTCGCGCCCGGCCCCCAGCGCTGAGGCGGATCCCGTCTCCCCGGCGCCCTTTTAAACCTTGGGTCCCTGAGCAGCCTGCTCCTTCCCCACCTTTTTCCTCAAGAGGAAGCTCAGCTCTTAATAAATCAAGTGTTTGGGATAAGGATGGGAACATTGCTAATTAAAAATTCTATTTGATTCCTGCATTAAAGAGTGGTGATACCAAGGTACTAGTTAAATACATTAGAGTGTTAATGCTTGAAGTAGTTATATAAATGTAACTTCTACATTCACCTTTCACTTAATTTTAAGAAGCCGTGCATTTGCTACAAAGAATAAAGATTTATTTTAAAAATATCTTGATTGCAAAGTAATACACAGGGTAGACCACAATAAAAGAAGTGTTATTTACACATCAGCTCCAGTATGTCCAAAATGTCTGCTTGATAGAAGCAAGAGTGAAAGCAAATCAAATGCCTTCACCTGTTACCATCTTCAAATAAAAAAAAAGTTTTAGCCATGGTGGAGGTTTTTGTTTGTTTTTGTTTTTTTTGTAAGACAGTCATGATAAAAGCTCAAGACACTATCAAGCAGTTAAAATGGGGAGTGCTAATAAGAACAGACTGTTATTCTGGTGAAATCAAATCTAGACTGACAATGTGTCTCATTGTGGGCCTTCCATGGGGGCAGTTCCAGGGATGTTCAATCTCACCCATATGGGTGACCAGTTTCTTCATCTCCTGTATATTCAACGCAGTCCCAATCATCACCTGCAAATCAAGACCAAAAAAGAGATAATCAGAAAGCAACATACAAATAATTATGTTTATAAAGTGCACTGGTTTGAAACAAATTCTATATAAATTGAGAAGAATTTCTGGGAGTTTTTAATGGACAACAGGAGGAAGAAGATGAAGGATTAGCTGCTGACACTAAACAGTAAACAACTCTCCCACAATCTGTAAATAGAGTTGTAACAAATAGTTCAAGAGCATAGGCTATATTTATTTGAAAACAAACATCAAGCGCAGTACTTACAGACTTTCTGCAAGCTCGAGAAGCAAACATCTGTCTGACTCTGGAGGGCCTACACATGACTCCAGGGCAGTCGCTTAACATGAAAATCAGTTCATCAATGTCTTGTGGACCAAAAGTCCAGTTTTTGCTTGTTGGCAAGGAAATCAATTTAACTCTTTGAGTTACAGGAGCTGAAAGATTAGCAAACAGAGGATCTTAAGTAGGTACCTTTTGTTTTTAGTGAAAAAATAAGAAACTGTTATGCATATTAATGTGATCTGTGCATTTGCCAAAATTTACAGTCTTTTGATGGATGTTTTAAACTAACCTGTTGGCTACAGGTTGACTACAAAATAATTTTTTGATGCTAAGAGCTTTATACAAGGTTTTATACAAGCTTTTATACATGATTTAACAAGATTTTAGGCAAAAATAAGTAGAGATTATAAAAAGTAAAAAGCAATATGGAAAAATCCATAGTAAGTTCCTAAGTGTCAAACTGGTAACGCACAGTACTTTCACAATCCTGTTCTCCTACAAAGCTCTATGAGTTAAACAATAACTGGTCTTGTCTTATAAAAGGCACAATGAAGAGCTTTTAGGTTATGCAATTTGCTAACAAGTACATAGCAGGTCAGCACTAAAGCCATAAAGAAAGCTAAATGACATTATTATGTATCATCCTAAAATTACTAGATTATAACTTGCGTTTAATCCTGCAAGTATTTTATTAATAGAGCAAAATAATTTTAATGTCATGTATCCAGAAAATACTATTGAGTTGTACAGTGATGCAAACATTCTACACCAATTTCTTTAACCAGATTTAAGATGAATGTTCTGTTGTACATAAAATGTTCTGTTAATAGTTCGACAAGTCACAAAAATCTTAAATTCACTTTAATTTACATACTCTATTAAATGTATATTATTTTAAAATTCTTGAGAACTAACATAAGAGGAAACCTATCTACTTTCTTACTTCCAGTAGTTCTGGTCCACACTCACCATTTTCATCTATGACAAAATCAAACCCATTTTTTCTGAATATTTCCAGATTTTCAATCAAAACAGTTTCATTTACAGCAGTTAAATTAAGATTTTGAGGCCTAAAAGAGGGAGAAAAATTATGGTATTGCACAGGTACATACTACAGGCCACTCAAACATTAGAAGCAATCTAGGAACAGTAATAGAGAGCTCTCTGCATTATTAAAAAAAAGGCAAAAATCAAACACAAAATACACCACCACATACAAAAATTCACTACTAGACAAATCACTTGTCTTTTAAGTGATACTCAGCAGAGTAAACAGCACTCCCTACTGCCACATTTTTTTCCAATCTGTACATAGCTTGTCTCTAAACTATGCTTTTTCATGTTTAACAAAATACAATTAACATAAAAACCCACCATGAAATCTGATGGGCTTATTGCATAGCTATGCAATATGACTGACTAATTTCTGACTGACCACATGCAGGCTCTTAGAAAGATGAAGTGTAAGACAATTACAAGATATAAATAAACATATAAATAAAATGTTTTACATACACACACACACACATGCAAATATATAGAAGTATATAAATTTAAGTGTTTTGAATGTGTAAAGTGCTACATAATTATACATATCCTCTGGAAACACTGAATTAAACTTAGAAAGTTATTGTTGTTGACAAATTGAAAATACTTACGCAATTAACTTCTGACCTTGGAGAACAGTGTGCTGTTGTAACATTTCGAAGTTATATTTCTCATCAGTAGCATGTTGGTCAATGATGAAGAGATCGGAATTTAACTTTGCTATTATGAACCCTAAGTTAAACTGGCCAATTATTTCCATTTTTGCAAACATTTCTTTGCTGTAGATGGAAAATACAGATTAGAAATTACACCTCATGACTT